AAAAAAAAAAAAAAAAAAGTTAACACTTTAGACTTTTGAATGACTGATGTTCCTAGGAAAATTTCCAATAAATAAAATTAAGGGCAAAGTGCCTAGTGATCAAGAGCTAACCTTTAGGGATTGATATACCAAGTTCAAAACCTAATTCTGTCTCTAACTAACTGAATGATCTTGGACAAGTTACTCCACCATACTCTACCTTACCTCAGTCTTACTCCAATCTTACCCTACCTTACTCCACCTTACCCGACTTTACTCAACTTGGCTCCATCTCACTCCAAACTTACTCCAAGTGACTGGTGGTAAAAAATTAAAAAAAAAAAAATGGTGAAGATGACCACACCTAACTCAGGGAAAATTGTAAGAATTATATTAAAAAATGCATGTGAAGCACTGTGCTTATGAGTGCTCTGTTGTTGTTGTTATTATTATTATTATTTTGGTACTACGGGATTGAATTCAGGGGTGCTTTACAACCATGCCAATCCCCAGCCCTTTTTAAAAAATTTTTATTTTGAGACAGGGTCTCATTAAGTTGCTAAGGGCCTTGCTAAGCTGTCAAGGTTGGCTTTGAATCTGTGAGCCTCTTGCCTCAAGTTCCTGAGCTGTTGGGACCACCGCACTCAGCTAAATATTAAATTTTTATTAGCCTTTGAAGATTTTAAATTTGGCCAAAAATTGTGAATGAAGACTCCAAGTTTATGTTTAAATTAACTCAGGGTAAGCCACTACTGTTCTTCATATAAAAAAATTAATTGGGGCTGGGGGTTGTGGCTCAGCAGTAAAGCGCTTGCCTAGCACATTCAAGGCCCTGGGTTCAATCCTCAGCACCACATAAAAATAAACAAACAAACAAACAAATAAATAAATTTGTTATTTACATTGTTCTGTCTGTAGCCAAGAAATATTTCTGAGACATAGCTCAGGGAGGGAAAGAATAAGTTCTTTATGTAACTGTGGAGCCTCTGATCCCACTAGACCTTATTATTGTTATTGCTATTATTATTATTATTATTATTATTGTTTTTTAGAAAGAGAGAGAACTTTTTAATATTTATTTTTTAGTTTTCAGTGGACACAACATCTTTTTTTATTTTTATGTGGTGAGCACGTTACCGCTTGAGCCACATCCCCAGCCCTATTATTATTATTATTATTATCATCGAGATGGGGTCTCACTGTGTTCCCCAGGCTGGTCTTCAACTTGTGGGATTAAGTGATCCTTTACCTCAGCCCTCAAAACAGCCGGGACTATAGGCATACACCACCATATGCTGCAAAGAGGCCTACACATGTATGTGTAAAGAGGGCCTTTACACATACAAGACAACTAATCTACTCTGAAAAGTAGAGACATAATATTAAAATATAACAAATTGTTGCTCTACTCTCATGCATTCTGCAAATACATAACTCCTTTAACAACACTCACGTTTTAGAGGCCTACACATGTATGTGTAAAGAGGGCCTTTACACATACAAGACAACTAATCTACTCTGAAAAGTAGAGACATAATATTAAAATATAATAAATTGTTGCTCTACTCTCATGCATTCTGCAAATACATAACTCCTTTAACAACACTCACGTTTTATTGAGAACATTACCCAGAAGAGCAGGTGGGAGATGAGTAGACTAGTTCCAGATCTGGTCATCACACAAGACCCTAGGATCTTGGATCCATGCTGTTGAACTGGCACAAGCAGCAATCTCTACCCACAGAGGCACACAGGTGAGCATGAGAAATTGTGAACCCAGCACAAAGGAATAGAGAGCCCAAATCCTCATTTAAAGATGACTTGTTGCCTGTGAGGTGGTGCATACCCATAATCCCAGCAGCTTGGGAGGCTGAGGAAGGAGAATTACAAGTTTCAAAGCCATCCTGGGCAATTTAGCAAAGCCCTAAGCAAATTAGTGAGACCCTGTCTCAAAATAAAAAAATAAAAGAAAAAAGGGCTGAGGATGTAGAGCAGTGGTTGAATGCCCCTGGGTTCAATTCCCAGTACAAAAAGGAAAAAAAAAAAAAAAAAAGCCTTGTTAAGGATGTTCAAACAGACCCAGGCCTAGGACTGAGGGCACAGTTCAATGGTAGAGCAGTTGCCTAGCATATGTATGTGTGAAGACTTGGGTGTGACAGCATGGCAAAACCAAAACAACAACAAAGTACAAAAACAAAACAAAAAAAACACAAACACATGTAGTCTCTCCATCATGCTCCGTAGCCAGGGGATTTGTGCTCATTCACTGATCACCTCTCTTTTCTGGGAGCCTTGCACTGGATGACAGTCAAGTCTGCACCTCTAGTTAGAGCCTCTACTTTAGCTCACCCCATATTTCCTGTGTATTTCATGCTGGGGTCTTATCCCCAGCATATACAACACTGGCAGCATATACAACACTGTAACTACCTGTGAATCACCCCAACATTTTGAAATAGGCCACCATCCCTATTTTGTACACATACCAAGATCACCAAGGCTAAGTGAATGGCCCAATGACTGCTTGGCTAGCAAATTGCCATATCATTAGGTATGTTCACTGGGATGTATCCTGGGCCTCATGCACTTGGTGTGCAGGATTGAACTCACTTCTTCTCTCCTTATCCTTCACTTCCCTACCCCACAGCCCCTATACTAGTCTTGATGAACATCCTACACTTGCTTCTGCTCCTTCCACCACTGCCCAGTTTAGCCCTCACTCTTGTCTATAAGACACTAAAGTGTCTTAACAACTGTCTTAATGACATTTAAACAGACACATAGTAGCTCTGGGTCTCCTTAACCAACACTACCTACAACCACCTCTTCCTGCAAGTTCCTCCCCCCTCCTTTTTTTTTTTCTTTTCTTCCTTTTTGTTTGTTTGTTTGTTTGTTTGTTTGTTACTAGGGATTGAACCCAGGGACGCTTAACCACTGAACCACATCCCCAACCCTTTTTGTATTTTATTTAGAGACAGGGTCTCACTGATTTGCTTAGGGCTTGCTAAATTGCTGAGGCTGGCTTTGAACTCATGATCTTCCTGCCTCAGCCTCCCAAGCCACTGGGATTACAGGTGTGTACCCTTTACAACTATTCTCCATGATACACCAGGGTAACCTGTCCCAAACCCAAATCTAAACACGCCCTCCTCACTATTATGTTAAGAGAAATAAGCCAATCCCAAAAATCTAAAGGCTGGAATGCCCTCTCTGATATGCAGATGTTAACATGAGATAAGGGGGAGGGAAGAAAAGAAGTTCAGTGGATTAGACAAAGGGAAATGAAAGGAGGGGAGATGGGAACAGGAAAGACAGTAGAATGAATCTGACATAACTTTCCTATGTGCATATATGAATACACAACCAATGTAATTCCACATCATGTACAACCACAAGAATAAAATCCTAATTAGATAAGTTATGCTCCATGTATGTACAATATGCCAAAATACATCTATTGTCATATATATCTAAAAAATAAATAAGAAAATAAATAAATAAGCCTTCCTCTGCCTAAGGCCCTGCAATGGCTCCCCATCCTTTAGAGAACAAAACCCAAGTTCCCATTTTTATACTCTAGTATTTGCTTCTAGTTCTCTGAACACACCACAAATTTCCTGGTCTTCCTGCTCACATGGCTTCTGTGCTGGGGGCTCTCATTTTCCTGAAGCTCAGGTTTCTCTCTTCCAGGAAGCTCTCCCTATCCTCAGCCATAATCTATCTTAGGTAAAGACACCTATAATTTTTCATCACAAGGATATAACTAATCTAGGTATGTGTTTGCCTGCCCTATTCAACTACAAACACCTCGAGGAAAGAGACTAGTTGGATCTTAAAAAAAAAAAATCTTCAGACACTGAGAGGCTGGTGTAGGGACTGCACTTAGTAAACACTTAATAATATATTCATAAGGACACAAAGCAGTACTGGGTCTCCCTAACCAGCACACAGTGACCAGGCAGTTCAATTTTCCAAACCCAGGAGTCCTCTCAGACTCCACTTTATATATATATATATATAGTTTTAGTTGTAAATGGACACAATACCTTCATTTTGCTTATTTATTTTTATGTGGTTCTGAGGATGGAACCCAGTGCCTCACACTCGCTGAGCCCCAGCCCCAGCCCCTCAGACTACACTTTAATAGGGAACCAAGGAAGCCTGTCAATTACTATCCCTGAAATCTCTCTGGAATCCTGCTTCCTTCTCCATCCCCATTACACCCCCAGGCTCAGGCCCTCACTCATTATTCCCAGGATTATGAGATTAACTTCCTTCCTCCAACATTCCCTTGGTATAATTACAGTTTCTGACTGGTGCCTGTCAGAGTGACTTTGCTGAAACACACATCTCCTTAAGCTCCACACCTAAACACCCCAACAGATGAACTTTTCTTGGTCTGCAGGTGAAGAGGGCTTTCAAGGACTTTCACATTTCTTTCCCATCTCTCCCTTCAAGCCCACACCCCCAACACTGGCCAGAAACAATTTCCAAAACTCACCTGGCACATCCTTGCCCTGTGCAGGCTTCCAGGCATCCCCTTCGCCAGGCGCATCCCACCCCCAGCTCATCCTTCAAGATCCAGTTCAGAGGTCACCTCCTTTATGAAACCTTCGCTAAATGTCCCCTCCTCCCATGCAGAACTCATCCCTCACCTCCTCTAGTTCCCTACTGCATTTTCAGCGCTACACATCACACCTTTCCCACAACCCTCCTGGCACCAGGCTGCAGCACCCAACGCAAGCGCGTGCAACAAGTCACTCAAGTGGTCATCCGTTTCCTTCAATTTAATAATTTGCAGTATTCAACGCGTTGTGCACCCTCCTCATTTTAACAATGGAATAAAGAGCTCCAGGAATATGACGTGCCTGGCCAGAAGCCACATTAGACCTAGATCTTCCGATTATAAATTTTATTTATCCACAGCATCCACAGCACTGAGCCGGGGTCAACAGTAAGGAACCACATGGGACAGAGGTAGGAGGGAGATTTAGGAGAACATGCCAGCTACTGAGTATTTAATCTCCTTCTACACTCAGTGGACTGAACTCTTCTTTTTTTCTGCGGCTAAAACTTGCGGGAAAGGTGTGGTTCCGCATTTGCAAAGAGATAGGGGCTCCCCAACCCAGCTTTTTACCTAAAGTCAGCCACTCCCTTTACTGCCTGCAGCGCTCCGTGCGCGTGCGCTGCTCGCAGTTCCGCGCCTAGGCACGCGCCACGGACGCCACGCGCAAGCTCAGCCTCGGCTTTCGCACGTGCCCTGATGGTTTGGCCATGCTGCTGGCTGTGGCGGGTGTTGTAGGCCCGAACTAGTCGGGCCTGGGGAATGGCAGGATCCGAGGCAGTAGGCACGGCTTCAGTTTACCAGCCTCTCCTCCGCCCAGAGCAAGCTGAGCTGCTCTGAGTAAGGAGCAAGGCTGTGTGCCTTCCAGTCCTTGGGAGCTAAGCCTCCTGGGAGGGGGTGTCGGGCAAGCGTTGAGCGTTGGGTCGCCTGCAGTAGAGGAAGTTGGCTGAGGGCTTGCGGGAGGAAGACTGGGCTTTGCTCCTACTACGACAGTCTGAAACTGTGGGGTTGGAGTCGTTCAGGGACAGAGATGACGACCCAAGATTTATTTTTTCTCCTTGCTCCTGACCATTGATTTCTTTATTTTTGTTTAGTTTCAACTAGCTAGGCAGCAAAACGATGACCTGTGTGGGTGGTCTTTCTCTCCCTCTTGTGTGCAGAAGGCAGCCTTCTAAATTGAATTATAGGGGTTTTTGTTGTTGTTGTTAAATATTTATTTTTTTTAGTTTTAGGTGGACATAATATCTTTTTTTTTTTTTAAATGTGGTGCTGAAGATCGAACCCAGGACCTCACTCATGCCAGGCGAGCGCACTACCACTTGAGCCACATCCTGAGCCCTGGATTATAGCCTTATGTCTTGCTGGCTCTGTGAGCTTAGGCAGTATTAAATTTTTGTGTTCAGTTTCCTCAGCTGTTAAAGGCTAGTGATCCTACTTCACGGGGTGGGCTATTAGGATAGGTAGATGAGTTAATGAGAGTAGAGGAGACTGGTGCATGGCAAGCACCTATATGAGTGGTTTGGGTGTTAATATTACTGTTGTGGAGCTGTATGTAATGGAGTGTTTAATAGGTCTTTTCCTGTTTCTCTGGAACTGATGAGTCAGGGCACAAGGGTGAGGACCCAGAGGCATTTAGTATCCCACACTGTAAAAAAGAATCCCTAACATAAAAGCACCCAGAACTTATTGTAGAGCTCCAGAGCCAGCCCTAGTCATCCCATCCTCCCTTTAGGCTTACATAATTGGACAAATGGAGACAGACAAGGCAAAAGGAGAAACAGGAGTTTCCTTCAGCAGTCTTGGTACAGAATTAGGGAGGGTGCTTTGCTGTTACCAGAGCCAACAGAGTGGAATTCCAAAAGGGTTATCATAATGCTCTTAGATGCCCAGAAATGACCGGCTTATTCTTTGATTTGACATCTGCTGGGACACTCTTTTCTTTTTAATGCGAAATATATGTTTTATATATCCTTTTTAAAACAATAATACCCAAACAATTCAAGCCAATTACATTGCATAATAGTAATATTTATCTGCTAGGTAACTATTGAACAATTTAGGGCACAACTTTACCTTAACTAAATAATATTTACAGAATTTCCTTTTTGATTTAGAATGGACATGTATCATTTGCAACCTAAGATATTTTTTTAGATTGTCTCCCTGTTCTTTGATTCAGAAGCTAATTGCAGAAACTGAAGACTTAACCTAATCCCAGTTTTTGACAATTATAGGACAGAAATGAAGAAACACAAGCTCTTCTTTTCTTTGTACACTAACTACTTTCTTTACTAAATAATCCTCCAGGAGGATCATGCTTTTGCAAACTGCAGCCTTCCTTGGGGTTCCATCTCCCGGCATCTTCCAAACAAGATTAATATCCCTTTAGTTTTCAGCAAAGATTCACCTTCAGTGTTTAAGAGGAAATCTAGCTTTTTTTGCTGCCTTAATTATTTACAATTTATTTACTAAAGAAATAAATGCCACGTGTGGATTCTCTAAACATCCCAAATGGGAGCTTGTCTCCAAAGGCACCATTCCCAAATGCTGTACTTTTTAGTCCCAGAAGTCTTTTGCCATTGTTAACTATGTCCATCCCCTGTGAATATGTCCTCTGGCTGGAAGCCTAAGGTTGCATTAATATTTACTCTGATTTAGCAACTGCTGTGTAGTCCCTACTGCAAAAAACAAAATGTTACTACAACTCTCTGCAAACACACTCTGTGGCCCAAAAGTTGATTATTTCTAGTGTTTTTTTTTCTTTTGAATGAGTATCATGTGGCCCCCTTCCAAATTTGGCAGAAATGATACAAGATTTTCTTAAAAGGGATGAGAAAAAATTTCCAAACTGCAATGAAATTACTGCTAAGCTGGAGCATTCATGTCCTAAGCTCTGGCTGCTACAGGAACCAGAGATATTCAGGCAAAAACATTTGAGAACCGTTTTGAGATCTGTTTCAGTCTTTCTATTGTACTAGACCAAAAATAAGCCTAGGTTAACCAGCGATTATTTGCTGTTATACTCTTACTGGCTTGTCATTAGCTTTAGTCCATGAAGGACTCAAAAGGCCCTTGAATACATAGCATCCAAGTCTATATTTTGTATTGCCCATCAGTGCCAAGGGTATTAGCTTATGGGGAATAAAGAGAGACACAAGAATGAGACATCATCACTAAAAGGACTGTAGGTGAGCCAAGATAAAGAAGCTGTTGGAAACAAAGACCTTTCTCATCCCATGATCAGGAAAATGAAAAGGAGATGAAGAGGATCACAAATGGGGAGGAGAAGAGGACCAGGCTGCATCCTCTCTGGTAGTAAGTCTGGGACTCCTGCTGGTACTGAGTGATCCACCACACGCTCCATTATCTTAATGTCAGACTTGGTGAAGTGCTCCCCTTTGGTGGTCGTGGTGACCATATGCGGCTTGACCATGTACAAAGTTCTTCTGGTTCTGTACTGATCCACAGCTTTGTAGAACACTTGGTTAGGATAATGGTACATGTTTACACAGTAGTAATGGTCTTCTAGATTAGTTGTTTCCAAAATTCATAAGGGGACTGCTCATGGCATTCCCCAGCATGTAGCCACCAAGGCCCTCCACTACTTCCCCAGCTGGGGCAGCACCTGCCACCTGCTTAATATTGTTTTTTGACTTATTGAGCTTGTTCCATTGATTGTGGTTGCCATCTCCTTCACCTCAGCTGCTACTGTGGGGTTGCCCTCAGTCACTACTACCATGGAGCTGCCCCCAGCCACCACCACCATGGGGTGGGTAGTGGTTGCCTCAGGGCTGCCTTGCTCAGGGTAACAACTTCCCACAGTGTTCCACCCTTTTCCAGGCTTCAGCCACTTTTTGCAGAGGCTAGCGTCACTCAAATGGGGCTCTGAAGAGAATCAGTAGCCAAGGTTCACCATGATAACTGATCTAAACTGGACTGGGCCTCTGTGAAGACAAAATGCTTCAGCTTGGCTGAAATTATTCAGGAATCCTCGGAAGCGAGGAGAGAAGCTTGCAGCACCGTAGCTGTCAGTGACTGGAGCAGGATGACAGCAACTCACAGCTGCTGAGACATTCTTAACTTACCAGCTTGCCCCAGACCTATCTGTGAAAGAGCCTAGTAAACTTGAAAGATCTCTGCATGGGGTAGGTGGGGTAGCTACAGCAGGCAGATGCTCTCTAATACCAGAACTCTATCCACTGGGCCAGTAGCTCAGGAGGCACTAGAGACTACTCTGAGTAAAGGACATAAAGTTAGAGCCCAATTTCCTGCCTTAATGCCACCCTGAGGCCTTTGGAAGAACTTACATAAAATTCCCATGAAAGAAAGCCAGCATTGAAACTTGCCACACAGAGGTCAAAAGCAGCTAGTCATAAAACTTGTGCTACCTCGTTTCAAAACTTAGTATAAAGCTACAGTAATCTGGACTGTAGAAGAGTCTAATAGAAGAGTCTAGAAATAGAACCACACATGTATGTTCAATTGATTTTCAATGAAGGTACCAAGAAAAGAATAGTCTTTGCAACAAATGGGGTTGGAAAAACTCACAGGCATTCCTATGCAATAAAATGAAGCTCTATCTTTATTGCAAACCATATCAAAAATTAATTTGAGGGAGCTGGGGGTTATGGCTCAGCAGTAGAGCACTCGCCTAGCATGTTCAAGGCCCTGGGTTCAACCCTAGCACCACGTAAAAGTAAATAAAGATTTTAAAAAATTAATTTGAAATAGATCATAGACATAACAGCTAAAACTTTAAAATCTCTAGGAGAAAAATCTTTGTGGCCATGTATTTAGTTTTTACACTTAGCACTTCCACAAAGTGGGAACCATGATGCTTTGGTTTATATGTTATGGGTCCCCCCATCCAATTCCTATGTTTAAAAATGATCACCAGTGTGATAGTATTAAGAGGTGGGACATTTAAGGAGTGATTATGTCATGAGAGTAGAGCCCTCATGAATGGATTAGTGTCCTTATAGATTTGAGGAAGCAAAGAATATACCTCAGCGATAAAACATATTTTTAGCACACACAAGGCCCTGGGTTTAATTGCCAGGGTGGAGGACATGAGAAAACTAGCTAGATCTTTCTGTCTTTCTATCCCTTCCACCATTTGAGGATGCAATATTGTCCCCTCTAGACAACAAAACAATAAGGCA